GAATTGTTTTGGTACGAACAAACTGTCGAAGACCCATTTGACTGGCATTACCGCTGGGCGTCATTTGCCGGCCTGATTCTGCCTGGAGGCTGGATCGATGGCATGGTAGCGGAAAATCAAGCGCACAAGCACTTGAACCCTCACCCGGGGGGAGCAGAGACACCTTTCAAGCGGACCTGGCAGAACGAGGTTTCCCCGGGGATACGTCCAGAAATGGACTCCATCCTGCGCAAGTGGCTGCCCGGAGTACTTCTTGCCCGATATGGAATTCCGCCTTAAAGAGAAGATTGTCGACGATATGCAGTGATTTTGGGTGCAGCAAAGCTACTTGCGTCCAACGAGTAAGCTTGCCGGCACTGCACAGACAGTATTAAACGTCTAGGAGCGCCCCCGCCCCCGCCAAGGCCGGCCGTGTATCTCGCGGTAATCAAACGTAATTGCAAGGTGGTGTTCAACAACATATTCGCCTGATTGAGAGCGTAGCATCTGATTGAGAGCGAGATTGCGCGATACGCTGTAGCCGGAAAACCACTGAGAGGTGGAGCTTGCTGTGTAGCTTGAATTGAAGGGCTAGCCCGTAGCTTCAAGCCGCTACCCTGGTCATCCTGTGGGAGTCTCTCGTTGTGGAGCTACAGCGGGGAGCAGAAGCTACAGCAGAGCCCACCGCCCGACGCGATACCGCCCTGAAACAGTTTGAGCAGAAATAGCCAATCTGGGCAAATCTAGCAACTTGTCTAGCTCCTCGCTGCAGCATCCGATGACGATGACACGCATATGCTCGCGAAGCTGCTGATGAGACCTTCAATTTGCACCGCTTCTTGGAATAGCCCGTCCCCTACTTGCCAAGAAATGGCAAGAGGCGTCTGGACCCGAAATTTCAATTTTTTTGGCTCTCGCTCTCAATCAGATACTTCGCTCTCAATCAGGCGAATATGTTGTTGTTCTTCGATAACACAGTTAGTTACGGAAATTGGTCGATTACCTCTCGTATATTTGCGGGACGCTTGCAATTCCTTAAGTTGTTCGGCGATGTATATTCTTCAACAATCCCCGTGCTGCTCTTGCTATGACCATTCCACGTGACATGACTTGTTGCCCGACCAGAACGTTCCTGACAAACCTCGCACATTGGTTTTGGCACCGGTCGGTTTTAGGGCCGTTATACTTGTTCACCCCCTGGATCGGGTAGCCGTGGAGAAGTGCCAGTTGGGGAAAGCAACACACGAAGAAATACTACGCGGATTGTTAGAGAGGAGAGCGTCGTGTGCTTGTGTCTGTCGTGGAATATCTCACCTGAGGTTGTTGGTGTTAACCCCGCGAAAACGAACGTTCGCTTCTTCCCGGTCGAACTCCCAAGCGGCGGTCGAGTTTTCACAACGGAGTGACATTTTTTTTCTGTTGTAGTTTCGTCTACGTTTTTGGATCACGTGCAGAAAGTATTGGATTTATTTGAATGGGGCCTCCTGTACCGGCAGGAGGATGTCACTCATTTCATATGGTGCCTCGCTGATTGATTCGGTTTCTCTCAGCGCGACATCACACCCCAAAAGGGTCCAACGGTGGACATTCCACGGTGGAGAATCCATGTAGACATAGTTGGGCGTGTGGGATGGTCTCTGTTTTGGCATCTCTTTCGACCTATTCGACGCTGTTGGTGGGAAAACAGGGACTCGTCAATAGGTTCGTTCATTAATCCGAGTTAGGGGGGCCTGCAGCTGGGGTGGACCTGTGCCGGACCCGTTCCCCTTCTGAGGTCTCTCCGATGAACCCCAACCCAGATGTAAATTGGAGTTTAAACAATCTCGCAAAAAGTACTGAAGAAATCTTGTCCGAACAAACGGAAATCAAATCTCAAATCAAGTAACTTGTGTCACAAAGAGTCAATACTCCACGCAGGTCATTTGACGAAGCCAACCAAACCCAACCCACCCCCATGCGAGAACGAACCCAGCCCAACCTTTTTGTACTCAATGTCAGCGATATTTCGCTGTGCACTAGCAGCAGCACGATGCTGCAGATGCCAGGGGGCTGTGTAGCCTACCTCAGAGGTTCACACTCTGTGCGGCTCCAACCGCGAGAGACTTGGAATGGAAATATGAAAATTAATTGCTGACTCCCGAGTCAGATTGATGTTGCTGGTACTGAAGAGGAGTGAGAGTAGTGGGCGAGCTTAGGGCTGCACCTCTCTTCTCGAATACCGGACAAATAAGCCAATCACACGAAAGATCCAGAATGCTTCCAGAATGATTTCTGGAAGCCCTCCTACGTTCGAGAAGAGTATCAACTACAACCTAGACCTAGAACGCTTCCAGAAGCTTACAAAAGGAACCAGAAGTTTTCAAAAGGCATCCAGAAGCTACAGCAGGAACCAGAAGGCTTCCAGAAGGCTTCCAGAAGCTACACACGGTCGACGTAGATGTCCCGGTCAACCTTGACTTAGCATGCTTCCGGAATATTTCTAGAACAAGAGAATACATGCCACGGAGAGATGGATTCTTTTCTACTGCTACGCAGACTAGTTGCTGCAATCGTATTCAAAGGTCAAACCGTGTCCGACTGCTGGTGGTCTCGACGCACGATTTTTCCTGACACGACGCCTCGATCAAGCAACTCATTCACAATGGTGGACGGCATCACATTATCCTTGTCTACCTCAACCCCTTCGTTGGCATCGTATCGAGAATAAATTCCTTCTGGTATGGCGGGTATGGAAGGAAGCTTCACAGATCTTCGATCAACACGAAAGATCCTTGATCTGCTGAATGATGGAGGCGAATCGGTGCTTTGGGAGGTACTTGGTCGCGATATCAGCCACCTGGTGCTCGTTGGGCCGGTGGTGAAGAGTG